ACGATACGTGACCGATGAATTAGATAAAATGTGACCATTACATGATGTGTGACCTAAAAATTATTAACTTGTGACCAATAATTCGATAAATTGTGACCTAAATCTAATTTATATTCAATGAATGTGATGTTTGTGACCATAAATAAGTATTGTGACTTATAAATTTTGTGATCTGTGACCGATGAACAAATTGTGATTTTTAAAATTTTCATTTGTGATCGATGAACGAATTTACGAATTGTAACCTATAAATTTTTTGAATTGTGACCAAATTACATAAATATGTGACATTTATATATTTATTAATAAAATATATAACTAATTAATTAGATTTTGAATAATTTTTCATGAAAACCTGATTTTTGAAATTTAAGACATCTATACTTAATTTTAAAATGACGATACTTACATACCTTATTTATATATTGTTTCCCATCATGAATACGTAAACAAACACTGATATGTAGAATTCGCGCATATAAAAGAAAAGATTACATCAATAACTCTATAAAGATTGTCAATAGTTTAAGACTTTAAATGCGTTCGTATACGAGAAACAGGAAGAGAGGAGAGAATGACCAGAGAGAAATACGACGACGACGGGAGTTAAGGAACAGTGAAAAAGCTTCAATTGTGTGCCTATTATGCACTGTGTCCTCAGAAGTTTAAACAAAAGTTAAAACCCCAGATCAGTTGCAACTCCCTATTCTAATTTTTTTTATTCATTATTCTTTACAAATAAGAAATTATTGAAAATATTACTTCGTTATTTTGTTAAATATAGTTTGTAAATTTCCTTTTAACTAAACAAAACTCACTTAACCAAATAAGATAATTTTTTGACAATTACTCTCTTTATACACAATTTCACAAATAGCCTCAGTTTGTTTCTTATTGTTCATCCATAAAAATAAAAAATATGACCGTTATCCATCATATCAAGTCATCAATTTTGAATTTCTATCTCTTGTGTGGAGCCCAATAATGACTATATTTTTCATTTTCATTCTACAATAATGAGAATCAAACGGACCCTTAGGTTGATCGTCACTCTTCCCTTTATTTTTTTTCCTAGTATGATCGATCAAAATTGATATAGTTTTGAATTTATTTTTTATAATTTATATCACTCCAAAATAAAATATATTTGTAGTTGGGTTGATTCATAATTAATACATTAATCTCTACAAATATTTTATAAATTTGCAATTGAAGCATAGAATCTTCACGAACATAGCAACATCAATCTCACATGTGATATCGATAGAAGTGCACGAAAATAGTACAAAAAACTATTAGAGCGTGTTTGATACGCGTTATTTTCTAGGCAACTAGGAAAATCCGATAAATTGATATTGTGACCAACAAATTGAATATTTTGTGACCAATAAATAATATGTGATCTAAAAAATAATGTGTGACTTATTAATTTGATAGATTTGTGATCGATAAATAAATTGTGACTTTTAAATTTTTCATTTGTGATCGATGAACGAACTGTAACCTATAAATTTTTTGAATTGTGACCAAATTACATAAATATGTGACCTTTATATATTTATTAATAAAATATATAACTAATTAATTAGATTTTGAATAATTTTTCATGAAAACCTGATTTTTGAAATTTAAGACATCTATACTTAATTTTGAAATGACGATACTTAAATACCTTATTTATATATTGTTCCCCATTATGAATACGTAAACAAACACTGATATGTAGAATTCGCGCATATAAAAGAAAAGATTACATCAATAACTCTATGAATATCACCTGATTAATTGGGGTTCAACAAACAATAAAGATTGTCAATAGTTTAAGACTTTAAATGCGTTCGTATACGAGAAACAGGAAGAGAGGAGAGAATGACCAGAGAGAAATATGACGACGGGAGTTAAGGAACAGTGAAAAAGCTTCAATTGTGTGCCTATTATGCACTGTGTCCTTAGAAGTTTAAACAAAGAATAAAGTTATTTGTACAAATAACAAGAAATTTTTTTGAATAAAGCTATTTGTACAAGAAGAATTTGACAAAAATGTTGACAAACACTCACATGATTGCCGGCCCCACATGAATAAAAAATTGAAAATAAAAAGTGGGCTCCCCCACATGTGAGGGTTTGTCAACATTTTTGTACAAATTCTTTTGTAAAAGTAGTAAGGTTCTTAAACAAAAGTTAAAACCCCAGATCAGTTGCGACTCCCTATTCTAATTTTTTTTATTCATTATTCTTTACAAATAAGAAATTATTGAAAATATTATTTCGTTATTTTGTTAAATATAGTTTGTAAATTTCCTTTTAACTAAACAAAACTCACTTAACCAAATAAGATAATTTTTTCACAATTACTCTCTTTATACACAATTTCACAAATAGCCTCAATTTGTTTCTTATTGTTCATCCATAAAAATAAAAAATATGACCGTTATTTATCATATCAAGTCATCAATTTTGAATTTCCATCTCTTGTGTGGAGCCCAATAATGACTATATTTTTCATTTTCATTCTACAATAATGAGAATCAAACGGGCCCAACATCAATCTCAAATGTGATATCGATAGAAGTGCAAGAAAATAGTACAAAAAACTATTAATGTATTATTTTAGTGATACAAAATTCATGCAAGCTGCCATCAAGAAATGATAGTAATTTGTTAAATCAAACTATCTACAATGAAAGAGCATTTTCAATCGACACTCGAAATACAAAATGTGCTTTATTTTAGGAAGTCAATGTTTAAAAACAAGCTCCAAAAATTATCTATTTTAATTTTTTAAAATAGAGAGTGAGTTTAACTCTTCAAATCTAAAGAGTCAAACCCACTCTCTAGTCTTAGCCCCCTATTTGAAAGGATTAAAATTTAAATTTTAATCAAAGTTAATATCAAAAATTAATTTTAGAGTCATGCTATGTACATGGAAAACATTGTCAAGGGACACTTGTCATTTTTATAGTGAAAGAAAAAAAGGAACAAAAAAGGAAACCATAAAAGTGCTGCCGTTGTAGCGCCGGTAATTCCTAGTAAGTTACAAGGAAATAACTTTTAATTTTAATCGCATATTTTACGGGATCAACGACTTTTCATCCACACATTTCATCAATTTTTATCAAATTAAAAATTTGATTTTAATCTCTACGTAACATGTGCATAATGTGCAATCATTGCATTTAATAAATCACATATTTCAATAGTATACTTCTTAAATTATTCAAACCATATTTAAACTAATTAATTAATTGGCATGTAAAAAATTATGTTAAATAAATTATGAAAAGAAATCAATAAATGCCTTGAGAAAAGTAAAATGAAATACCACAATAGGGAACTTGTAGGACTTAAAAAATATATAAAAATTTTGACTCTCTAAATTTAAATATACTCTCTATAAATAAATACTCTCTTGGGGATGCTTTAACACAAATAACACTAAGCCCCTGTTTGAGCTACATTAAAATTCTCATTCTCATTATTCTACTTATTTTCAACCACATATTGTTCAATAAAATAATATTTTTCATCACATCAATAACTTTGTCTTCTTTTCCAATCACACGTTTTTCATCTATTATTCTAAAATACGTTCTTCCAAAATAATGTAACTCAAACACACCCTAAATAGATAATAGACTCAAAGGCAAGTCGAGACCTAAGGATTTTGACATAATTTTCAGTATTCGAAGATGGAAAGTTAAATAAAGAACATACAGAGCCAAGTCCAATCGAAGAAACAATATACAAGAAATGGAAACAAGTTCAAAAAATCATTTCTAACGTGGACAAACAATCGACTACACTAGCTTTTGTTCACTAATAAATATAATTACATTCGATAAGGATGATCAATAGCTATGTTCTTTTTCTATGTACTTTTGGAATATACTACCAACTTGTGTGAACTCTTTATTCGACTTTCTGGAGATATTCGACTACACTTACTTGGTAGCTGAACATTGTCAATTTTATGTTGGCAATAAGTTGGTTTACAGATCATGAACGGTTGGTGCCATAGGCACTGTCACCCTGGTTCAAAAGCAGAATCATCTGTGAAAAAAATAACTTGTCTTTCCAGTGCCATCAAGACAACGAGTTTCCAAAATGTAAAAATACTGAAATTGCTGAAGAAAGCACCCCATATACCACTTGTTTCTCACAGATTTTCCAGAGAGACCATCACGAGTTCTATCATAAATCGCGAATGTCAGAGACGGCTTTTATGTGCAGTGATGGATTTTTTATGATGCATGTCTATTCGATCCTGACCATCCTGGCCACAATGATTTAGCACATAGGACGACTCAAGAGCTTCAACACCAAAGTTCTTCTCTTTCTCAATTCTAGGCATAGATAGCATTCTTGGATGAGGGAGCAATGCCCCAGAAACATCTCCCCACCAGTCAGGATTTCTCATATACCACTCAGCAGTTAACCTTAGACCATCCTCCCATGAAGTACGCTCCGACCATCCCAAATTTTTCAGCTTTTGTGTATCCAAGAAATATCTTTGGTCATTAAAGGGCCTGTTCTCCACACACTTTATCACAGCATCTGGATCCAACGAAAATAGCCTGCAAATATCCCTGGCAACATCAACAACTCTCCTTTCCTCATCTGTTCCTATGTTGTAAACATGACCTACTTCACCCCTGTGGAGTATGATATCAAAAGCCTCTGCAACGTCTTCACAGTAGAGGTAACTTCTAATATTGGACCCATCACCATGAATTGCAAGGTGCTTTCCTTTCATTGCTAATAGAATAAATTTAGGAATTAACTTTTCAGGAAATTGATGTGTCCCATAAACATTGTTCCCTCTTGTGATTATTACAGGTAGGTCATATGATCGTCCATATGCCAAGACAAGCATTTCAGCCCCAGCTTTGGATGCGGAATAGGGGTTTGTTGGGAGAAGCTGCGAACTCTCATCATTTCCCACGACAGCATTCTCTTCTGTTTCGCCATAGACCTCATCTGTACTGACGTGAATGAATCTTCTAACTTGACCAAAACTTTTGCAAGCTTCAAGAAGGACATAAGTCCCGTAAACATTATTCTTAATAAACTCAAAGCTGTTGCCAAATGAGTTATCGACATGAGTTTGTGCTGCAAAGTGCATAATTGTGTCAACAGACTCTGTATCAAGTAAATAATTGACAAGGTCGGCACTACATATATCTCCCTTCACGAATTTGAAATTTGGGGATGATCGCGAGGCATCAAGGTTTTTCAGATTCGAACAGTAATCTAGTTTGTCAAGAACAATAATTCTGTACTCGGAGTAATTCCGAATTAGCCTGTTTGCAACATGGGATGCTATGAAACCAGCAGCTCCAGTAATCAGGATATTCTGCGGTTTATGATTTGCCATATGGAGAAGAGATCTGAAAGGACATTCATATCGCGAGTTAAGCAACAAAAAAAAAAAAACAATACTATATTCCGAGATCTAGGAATTACAGCAAATAAAAATCCAATCCCCTGATCTCAGGGTCCCAAGCATCCAGATTTGGAGCTCTGCGCCGGATTACAGGCATTATATCAAATTGTAGCAAAATATTACGAGAAACGTAAAAAATAGCAAAGCTTCTTGAGGTCCAGGGAGATCATACATATTCAACACAAAATAAATCAAAAAATCTACCTCTTTTGGACGATATGCAGATTTTCCAAATATTCACATGGGCCGTTGACAAGAACTCATATATACCAAATTTATGTTTAAAAAAGATATCAATTAATGGAAAGTTAAATCATAAGGTGGGAATTGGGATCTAATTCATCAGATTCACATTAATCTTGAATCTTCAAAAATATAGAAAAACACAAACTGACATTGTTATCTTTACATAATTTTTGATATATATACACATGAATATATATTGACTCGTGAAAATTTGAATAGGGGGAAAATAATGCACTTACACAGTAATTGAATTTCAGGTGAACACGAAGCGAGAGAAAATAGCCTGAATGAAGCCTGAAGGTGAAGTGTGAGAGGCACAGGGACCGAAAAACGCTCAAAAGGGGACTATATATAGGCATCGTCCTCGCCCCTATTTTTAAAATTTTCAATTACCAATGAAGTATCATCTCAGTTACTACTACTCAACTTTTGGATTTTATTTTTACTTGCCCATATTTTTTTATGTGAATAAAAACTCTTAAAATCTTTTATTAAAGGGAAATTTTCATTTTCTATCTCCAATTTTTATGAAATGTGACAAATATATCCTCTACATTTGTTTTAGCATAATCTATCATCAATGTTGGTGTTTTGAGTATGAAAATCTCAAGCCCACCTCAAAAAGGACCAGAAGGAAATTAATGATAGAAATCTTCAAGTCAAAACAAAAGGTCGAACTAAAAGCTCATCTATTGAGGTCGACACGAGTCCCCCATCATCAATGCACATCATTATTAACCCAACAAAAAATGTGTTTCCATAGACATCACAACATTCCAAACAATCGCTTCTAAAAGGACAAGTGTCACCTTCAACGTCAACACATCACCATCCACCAATCAAAAGAATAATAATTGCCTAGACATCATACAATCATAACCCAAGTTACATCCAATTAAGGGCATGTTTGGACGCGCTTAAAAATGCCAAAAAAAAAGAGAATTTTTGACCGTTGATACTTCTTTTCCATCGCATAGACCGACTTCCTGTCAGTCCATGTTTCCTTGTGTCAGGCCATATATCCTTGTGTGCCCTTCAATTTCAACAAAATTACACACAACAACCACCCCACATCTTGCACATGTAAGGGCATTTCGATCATAGCACCATGTAGGTTTGCTTCCAAGAACCAGAGGTGTATCACGTGGGCCTGTCGCAAACGTTCAAAAAAATTGATTTCACCGACTCAAAATCACGCCCAGACAGACGCTAAATATCTTCAAGCGTGGTGGTAGCACGCAGATCGAAATCAATATTGTAGTTTGATGGGACAAGGGGCATCAAGCTCTTGATTGGATGTTTATAAACATGAACAATGATTAGAGATGGCAAAAAAATCCGCCCACACCGCCCCGACGGGTTTTAATAAGTTAAATAGTTCAACATTATTGCTTGTTAAATGCTTCCAATTAATTTAATTGAGAACAAAGTATTTATTAGCCCTTATTTGAGCCGTATTCTCATTATTCTACTCATTGTCAACCACACATTTTCAATAAAATAATATTTTCATCACATCAATAATTTTTCATTCGTTTTCAACCATATATTCACTATCACATAAAAAATGCATTCTTTCCATTTTAAACTACATCAAACACACTTTTATTTCTGTTTAGGGAATGCTATCATGCATCATGTCAATATCATAGTACTCTCCAATTGAGTTTTCATGACAAGGTTTAAACAATATAGCAGTTTATTACTCCAAATTGTTTGCATTATTTTTTTATTTGTTGGCATTTTGGCCACGTCGAATATTTGCCAAAAAATGTTTCAACGAGGCAGATTTTTTGTAACGTGTTATTCAAGGTGGAATGTTGTGAATGATAATTTTATTAGTGAATGCCAATTGCGCCCATATAACCATCAAAAATATTACTATTGTATACCAAATCTTTCTCTATAATTATGAGATTTTGATTTTCAATAAAATACGCACAATTTTATTGAATTATTTTCTTTTTTTCTCTCTAATTTGTAACTCTTGCTAATTTTTCCTTGAGTTGATAAAAAATTACCATCGTTAGTCATAACAATCAATATCTCAATTATATAACAAAACTAGTTATTCTTTCCATTGTAATCATCAGACGACATATTTAGCCCTTGTTTGGTATTCATCATTTTCAAAATATATCTTCACTCTCTTATTTATGACCACACACTCTTTAATAAAATAATATTACACATAGTCATAGATTCAAAAACTTTCCGTATCTTTTAACATTACACTCTCCAAAAAATATTATTCTAAAATGCATTTTGAACAAAAAAAAGAGCCCAAACAAGCTCTTCTCTTTAAATAATAATAATAATAAAAAAACAACAAAAAAAGTATAAAAATGATTCTCATGACTAAGTACAAATAAACTTAAACAATTAACAATTAAATATATATTATTTAGAAAAGAGTAATATTATTTATTATCATAATCGTAGAACATTGCTCATTTGACAATCTATTATCTTTCACATTTTTTTCTCATAAAAATTGAACTGTGAAATCTCATTATTGCACATAATTTGTCAGGCTGTCACACCGATTTTCTATCGTCGTAACGATAAATAACATTATTATTAATTTTTTTTGTTTTTGAAAATGTTATCATCCAATCAAGCTCACCCATCCTATCAACTACCACCCCAACCCCCACACCCACGACTACACCTACACACCGCGGCGGCCAAAATTTCCACAGAGCAAAACCAGATTAAAACCTCGCATAATTGTTTGATCTGGTTCATCTCTGTTAACTTTGCATTATTTTTTGCATTAATTAATGGTTCTAGGTAATTTTAACTTCTGAATTTACTATCTGGGCATTGATGCCTCTTATTTACTCTGTCAATTATTATAGCCTGGATGAATTTACAACCCCCTTCACTAAGAAATTTATAATTTTAAGCATTTCGTTTTCGCCTTTTCATTTCACTATGAGATTAGCTACACTTCAAGGTAATGAGCTTAATTTTGTCAAAATAGATTAGGGCAACTCTGTTCTGAATATAAAAGCCCCAAACCCTTTAAACTTATATGTTTTTTTGATTTTTAAGGTTGAATGTGGATTTCTTTTCTGTACTTTTTTTTTTTGGATGCAAGTAAAGATCCTGCTTTGTTACCCGCGAATAGCGTCTGTAAACGCCTGAACATTTGCCAGCTTGAATTTTTGTGATTTTGTCTATTGTTTTTTGTACTTATTACAAAATTTGGTCAGGCGAAAATGATGGTGTTACATTTCATGTTTTCCAGCCATGTTTAGACGTGGGAAAAGATTATTGAAGCAGTCAAGCAGTACATCCAATGCTCGATTACCAGTTTTGGTTGCATTGCTGCTTCTAGTAATGGTAGCACTGGCGTTGTTTGGAAATAGAGCAGAAAAATCCAGTCCTATGTCTGAGATTTTGAACAAAAAATGGAAGAGCTTTGAATCTGTGGTTCGATTAGACCCGACTGTAGAGTTCAGGAATGGGACTGATTTTATATGGCAGTTACCCGACTCGCCTAAAGCAGTGCTCTTCTTGGCACATGGTTGTAATGGTAGAGCAGCAAACTTTTGGGATAAGACACCCAAATGCTCGAACTGTGTTGGTTTACCTGAAGAGAGGCTCATTGTGATGCATGCTTTGGCTAGAAAGTTTGCTGTCATCGCCATAACGAGTGCTGGAAGATGCTGGTCACTTGGGGATGAAAGATGGATTGTTAAAGACATCATTGAGAGTTGGGTTGTGAAACAAAATCTTGAAAAGCTGCCTCTTTTTGCACTGGGTGCTTCCTCGGGCGGATATTTTGTCTCAGTACTTGCCACATATATGAGATTCAGGGGTATTACTCTAATGATTGCTGAAGGGGTGTTGGGTCACAAGGAAATTACAACGGATTACCCACCTATACTTTTTGTTCACATGCCCAAAGATGAAAATAGGAGGCGGAGGATAGAAAAGTACTTAATAGTTCTGAAGGAGAAAGGCGTTGATGTTTCAGAAATTAAATGCATGGAATTCCCTTTGACACCTGATTTCTTTGCTAACAGAATCACGGGTCTTGATCTAACCCTTTCGAGAAAGTTGTTCGATTTGTTTAAGGAAAAGGGCTTTATTGACAAAAATGGTTATATGAGAGATGATGGGCGTAAAATACCTTGGAAAACAGTTCTTGAGGAGAGAAATATTCTTCTTCCAGATAAATCATTGGTTAATCACATTCAGGAGGAAATGAATCTTGCATTTGCTTATCATGAAATGACTAGCTTGCAGTCTCTGCAAATCTTTGACTGGTTTGAATCTCACATGAATTGATCAGTACTTGGCATGTTCACATTCTCCCTTTCTTCAGTCTGAGAGAACACCATTTGAAATGCTGTGGATGTACATTGCATATTCAATCTATCTGTCCAATCTGGTTAGTATTGCAAGTGGGGATTCATATAATTGGGAAAAAATCTACATTGCTCCAGGTGCTTGGTCTACTTGCCTGTTCTCAAGAGACAGAGTGTTCTAGCTATACCTCTTGCTATATTTTCTGAGCGGACAAGTTCGGTTTCAAGCTTTTCCTTATTTAGCTCATGCTGGAAATTCCCGTCTCCCTTTAATCCAATTGTGACATCTTTACTGTCAAGATTGCTTTATATTTCTCAAACTAAATTCCACTTCTTGTATAGCATAGTTCCTCTTCAGTTGATAAGCTATCATGCATGTAGTAGGACAAAATTTGATCAAACATGAGATGATCTCCATATATCCCTAATTTCATGCTGTACCAAAATCTACTTTATATCCAGTGATATAACTCAGGTGGCCTAATTTCCTTCTCATAGCTTTGTCAGTTTTCTGGCAACAAGAAAATCCTTAATGACATTATAGCACTTCCTTTCTCATTTCGTTTATTTCTGGAAGAAAAAATGTCTTCTATTATTCCAAGCCGCTCGAGGATCTATTTGGGAATATATGTGATGCTTGAAAGTTGAAAATATGATAATATACTAGTTGCACCAAGCTTTTTTTTTGTAATCTCAAACTGAGTTAAGTTCTTCTACTAACACAAACAGCTTTTAAAATGTTCAGTGGCAGGACATTGCTAGATACTTTTCATGTTAGGTTTACTCTCTTGGTCTAAGATTCTCATTTTTAGCATAAGCCCCTTTTAATTTTACTGATAAAGCATATAGCTAGTACCAATCTTCTTCTGTAGCATTTAAGTGAACTAAATTAAACATTAATCCCATCTGAAAGCACCTCATAAAAAAACGCAGCATAAACCAAAATGAATGGAGATGACACTTACTGCTATATAAAATATTTGACTGGTTTTCAGGCTTGGGGCTTTATTCTACCAATCTACCCTCATTAGCTAGCTTGAAGAGCTGTGCTTGAGCTGCTGCATCATTGTTTGAGCTGAGTACTGCAATGAAACTATCTCTGACTTCTTTGATTGTACAAGCGAACCTCCCGTGTAGCATGGAATTGAGCAAAGCAGCTGTGTCTTCCCTGCAGAGTTATCCAATATCATCTCTTTGAGCGTTCCAAAAAGCCTGTAGCAATTCCAAATTTGCCCCAAACCCAGGTAGGCTAGTAACACCAAAGGCTTAAATAACTGGCCCCACCAGCCAAACAAGCCTTATATCAATCCCGGGTGTGTCCTCCAGTAACTGCAGTTTACAAGTTCATAATGTTTTATTTATCTTTAGACCTCTATGTAGTGTGCTCATTACCTGTTTGTTCTCAATAAAATATTTGTACTTACATGACTGTAAAAGGCGGTGAGTTTGGATCAAATGGAAATGGTGGTGATGGTACTGAGATACCGGGAGTGCTTGGAACTGTTGGTGGTATTACCACTGTTGGTGTTAAAGGAGTTCCAGTTATTCTTGGAGTAGAGGTCGGAGGGGAGTAATAGTATCCACTACCGCCTCCTCTAGGAGGAGATGGAGTAATACGGTGGTGCCCTCCACTTGAAGGGTTACCACAATTAGCTGGTGGTCTGTTCCCATAGCTGCTGCTGCCTCCGCGAGGTGTTCAATGTGAGGGTGTTGGGTTTCCATGTCCTCCTGAGCCATGTGATGGAGGTGAGTATGAACCCGTAACCAGAAATAAAGATGTTAACCTGCAGTTGCTATAGCTCATAACGTTCTTTTATTTTTTTATCAGTTGGGATTTGTAGTGAAATTTTCATGAGAACTTGTTTTGTAGAGAACTTGACACATATATATTGGTAGCTCTGAAATTGGACTGCAAAAACATGTAGCAAGAACAAGAGCATCATCATATGAGATATGATTCTGCATGTTTGAGGAAGTGTGTAGAGAGTTGTGTGTGTCTGAGAGAGAGAGATACCTATGGGAAGAGTTCCTGAATGTACAGGATACCAAATGGTCAAGTTAAATATCCTTATATTCGTAGATTGTGTAGTAACACGATACGATTTGTCTTTAGTAATTTTAGTAATATCCTGAAGAGCCAATTACCATAGATCCACTTCCATTTCCTTCTCAAGGAATACCCTTAAATATTTCTCCCAAGGTTTCATGAAGCGTTCATGGGATTGTGAACTAGTAGTAATTTCTCAAATTCAATTCATAAATTCTACGTTACGATTTTCGCTAAATAAGACTACTGTTGAATGTATTTTCCGCTGATTTACTGTCTTTTGCTTGAAAACGATCGTTTTTAAATTTTTTTTTTCTTTTATCAAACAATTCTGATACAAGAATTACGGACGCGAGATTTCTTTTCTAAGAACCTGGATTTCCTACACGGACAGATGCATGATTGTTTTGTAAATCTTAGCGAGACCACGAAGATAAACTTTGGTCCGAAGAAATTTACACTATGTTTGGTAAAAATTTTCATTTTCAAAATTAAATCAATTATAATTTTCAACCACAAATTCTTCAAAAAAATAATATTTTCTATCACATCAAAAAACTTAACTTA